ATCATAATAAACAAAGAGAAAAAAGAGAAGCAAAGGAACGTGAGGAAAGAGAAAAGCAAAGACAATACGAGCGAGAAAAGAGACAAAAAGAACGTGAGGAACGAGAAAAACGAGAAGTAAGAGAACGTGAGGAACGAGAAAAGCAAAGACAATATGAGCGAGAAGAGAGACAAAAAAAAAGAGAAGAGAGACAAAAAGACCGTGAAGAAAGACAAAAAAGAGAGAATAATATGCTGTTTTATTATTTTATTTTTTTTCTTTTATTGTATGTATAACTACAATACCTTAGGTTCTGTTCATCTGGTGTGGTTACCGTCATTCTTAAGTATATAGAATATATAAAAAATTAAATAAGAATATATAAAAAATTAAATAAGAATTTTATTTATTCTTTTAAAATAATAAAATTACAAATTTGTTAAAAGATCACACTTTTATTTAAATTTATTAGTTTAATAAATTAAGTAATTTTCTTTCTGTTGTTTTTATGTTTGACAGAGTTTTCAAGATCAAATTCTTCTTTTTGTTAGAATTATTCATTTCTGCCGATTTTTGATAATGAGTGTTGTTTTCATCTTTTTCAACACCTATTCCGTTAGAATTATTCATATCTGTCGATTTTTGATAACAATAGTACATTCCATCTGAATCGTTCAACAGAGAAATAATGATATTGAAAATCCAGATAAAAAAGTCTTTGAGATAGATATAAATTAGGTAGACGATAAAGTGATTAATAAAATTTTTAAAAAGATAAAATGGGAAGAGGATGGCTTTAAGATAGATATAAATTGGGGAAAAAATGAATTTTTTGAGATAGATATAGATCAGGAAGAAGAGAACGATGATTGCTTTTAACATTTTAACGGTTATTGATTGAATTGTAAGATTTTACAAAAAGAAAGAAGGTATTTTTAACATTTTTTTAACAATTATGCTTTAATGGGTAGGTCATTTAAGAGTTATTTTCTTGGATTGATAGTTTTTTATTTCATGTGAATTGCATGTATAATTTATTTCTTCTGTATCTTTTATTCGTTTTTCTCACAGCGTATACGTATTTTATTTCAATTATTTCTATTTACCAAATTAGTTATTTACTTTTTAAATGAAGCGTGTGAATATTAATCTTAATTAGGAATTCATAGTTGTAGTACACATGTGAATATATCTAAACAAAAAAATATGTTTGACAACTCAGCGGATTACTGGATTTGGTTGATACTTATGCATGTATGATGACTCACATAGTTTGATCGACAGTACAAATACCCACAATTTATGCCCAATTTTGTGATTTCTCACCCTTTCGTTCATGATTCTGACTAGAGGAACGATGAAGAACACCTACATCTTAATATCCGAACAGGGAGAAGTATAGTCTCTTCATAGAGATGAACATGATGTAAGGCAGCGAATGACGCATGAGATAACCATCTTTTTGGTGAAGCGTATTCATGTTTTTCTGGTTAACATGAGCGAAACGGTCATTCTTTTATCGCTTCAGATGGTTGTTATTAAGTTTTGGCCAGGCTCTCCATCTCGAGAGCGAACGAAAAACTTAGTGTTTGTAAAATCAATGCACCTTGAGAAATGTCTCGAGGAATGGATGTGTTTAGGCTTTTTTCTACCATAGAAGAGTAAAAAGCACTCTCAATTGTTAGTCATCTCGGAGCACACTACATGGATTTACCGGTTGAATCCTAAGGCTTATAACGCTGAGATGCGACTCGGTATACTGTTTTAGGCTTTTGGCAGCTATACCTGAACTACAAAAGTCAAACTTTTCATGAGTTTTACGATCGTGGTTATTGTTCATTCATGGCTTGGGATCTGAACATAATCTCCCCAGTAATTTGAATTCACGTTCGAATTGATCATTTGCTCTTGTTTTTTTAGAGTCAAGTGATATGTAACTTCCTCGCAGTTTGATTCGGGCAACATGTTTTTATTATTAAAAATACGGCTAATATATATCAAATTTTAATAAAGTACAGGATATCCATTGCGATTACCAGTTTGTTTGTCATGTTCTACTTTAAATTCTATTGCTTCTTGTTTAATTTTAAACCATTTATTTTTTTGTTTACTATTCTCACACCAAAAAAATACCCATCTTTTATTAGTTTTGTCATAGCTAATTCCATTAAAACCTGATGTATTTGTTTTAAACA